TTTTTTGAGTGCTCCTCACACTATTGTATTAATATATTTTGCTTTGGCTTTATTGATACAATATCAGAAAGCACTCTGTTTTGCGGATATAATCGTGTGGGCTGAAGAAAAGATTATATCTTTTTTTTCCGGCTTTTTTTCCGGTTTTTTTAATTAACATTTCATTTTTTTTTAATAAAATGTTGTTTGTTATTTTTTTACTTATTATTTCCCAACCCCTTTTTTTCATATGTCTATAATTTTTCTTTGTTTTATTCTTCATTTTGAACTTACTTATATATATATATATATATATATATATCACATTAGAAGTTGCGATATTTTGTGAATCTTTTTTAACATAAATCATTGCTTCAAGTTGATGGTGGAATTCGAAAAAATTATAAAGCACTCCATCAGTTACTAAGACTACGCGAAACTATAATTTTAAAAGCACTAGAAGACAATATATCGATCTGTTTGGATGCACTCTAGAAATACTAAGACAAAGGAAATAAAAGAAATATTATTTTAAGAAGCAATTCTTAAGCGCCACTCTATCTACTTCTGCAGACTGCACAAGATCTTACTTTATTCTTTTCATATGGTAGCAGTTTTACCGAAAATTATGGTTTTCAAAATTAAAGTTCTTATTACTACACACTTAGCAAAAAAACAAAACTGACAAGTAAATTTAACCAAATAAATGGTTCATCTGCGATGCTCTAAGGTTTCATGCTAAAATTATCACATTTTTACCCCATTTACAAACTTTATCATAAACATATTATAAAACCTTATTTAATTTTTCAAAAACTAAGGTAAAACTTACAGAGGTTTTTGGTGTTCCTATTGAGCCAGGAACACTGTAAACTTTGCCATATTCTGGCAGTTTTGACAATATTTTTTCTCAGTGTAGATTTGTTTGGAACAGTCAATAAATAATAAAACAGATAATAATAAATCAATTATGAGTTACGCAAGTGTTAAAAAGCATCCGATTCTATATAATTTTAGTTCTATCTCTAACTTTATACGTACACTTTGTAAATCTATTTAGTACAGTTAATAAATAATAAAGCAGATGCCATTAAGCGAATGATATGTAAAGCAAATGCTAAAAATCTTCCAATCCAATACATCCGATACGAAAACAAAGCCTATAAAAATACACTTTTTAGATCTATTTGGTACAATCAATATATAATTAGACAGATGTCATTAAATCAATGATATGTTAAGCAAAAGCTAAAAAACACTTGACCCGATATATCTTATACGTAAACAATGTCTTTAAACCTACACTTTTTAGATCTATTTGGTACAGTCAGTTCAGTAATACATAATTACAGTACAGTAAATAAATAATTAGGCAATTGCCGTTAAACCAATAATATTATAAAAGAAACATCCAGCACGATACATAAGATACACAATCAATGATTTCAAACCTTCATTTTTTAGATCTATTTAGTACAGTCAGTCCAGTAATAAATACTTAGGCAGATGCCATTAACCCAATGATATGTTAAGCAGATGCTAAGAATCACCCATTCCGATACATCCAGTACGCAAGGAATTACTTTAGACCTGCACTTTTTAGATCTATTTGATACAGTCAGTACAATAATACATAATTACAGTACAGTAAATAAATAATTAGGCAATTGCCGTTAAACCAATAATATGATAAAAGAAACATCCAACACGATACATAAGATACGCGTCAATGATTTCAAACCTTCACTTTTTAGATCTATTTAGTACAGTCAGTCCAGTAATAAATACTTAGGCAGATGCTATTAACCCAATGATATGTTAAGCAGATGCTAAGAACCACCCTATCCGATTCATCCAGTACTCAAAGAATTACTTTAAACCTGCACTTTTTAGATCTATTTGGTACAGTCAGTTCAGTAATACATAATTACAGTACAGTAAATAAATAATTAGGCAATTGCCGTTAAACCAATAATATGATAAAAGAAACATCCAACACGATACATAGGATACGCAATCAATGGTTTCAAACTTTCACTTTTTAGATCTATTTAGTACAGTCAGTCCAGTAATAAATACTTAGGCAGATGCCATTTAACCAATGATATGTTAAGTGAATGCTAAATAGCACCGGATCCGCTACATCCGATGCGCAAACAGTGACTTTAAAACTACACTTTTTAAATCTATTTGGTACAGTCAGTACAGTAATAAATACTGAGGCAGATGTCATTAAACCAACGATATGTTCAGAAAATACTAAAAATAAAACCGATCACATACATCCAATATACAAACAATCAATATAAGCCTACACTTTTTTAATCTATTTGGTACAGTCAATAAATAATTAGAAGATGCTATTTAACCAATGATATGCTAACAAACATCCAACCCGATACATAAGATACGCAATCAATGACTTTAAACCTTCGCTTTTTAGATCCTTTTGGTACAGTAAAAAAATGAAAAGGCAAATGCCATTAAACTATAGATATGTTAAGCAAATGCTGAAAAAAAAACCCGATGCGGTACATCCAGTTCACAAACAATGATTTTAAGCCTTCTCTTTTTAGATATACATATTTGGTACAGTCAATAAATAAGGAGGCATATGCCATTAAATCAATGATTTATTTTTTTTATTTCAGTAGTTCTAACTTTAAATATATATATTGTAGATCTGTTTACTACCGAAAATAAAGAAAGAGACAAAGGCCATTAAGCACAAACATGTTATCTAACAAAAATGGCGATTGACTTGACGTTAGCGTTACAAAAAGATGCGCAAGCAATAATGAAAGGATGATAATCGAGCAACTGTCGGTTCAATGATTATGTTTCTGAAAACAACATTCAACAGTCAGATCAATTGTTCAGTTCTTTTTAGCTTCCTGAAAGTAGAGTCAATGATTATCGTAAATGTTATCAAAGTTCAGAAAGGCAATTAAATCAAATTTGCTAGTAAGTTTTCTAAGTAAGTGGAATCATCACGTTACGTGACAATGCCATACCACAAAGTACTTAAGGAATTTCTTCAGAAATTCAAATGGGAAGTTCCGACCCTGTAGTCTAGATGTGTATGGCGCAACTGATCCTGATCGCAAACAATGGCCTTTTACGAGTATTTCATAGGTTATGTCGCAATCAAACAAATGGCTAAGTAATTATGGACAATGTTTTTGAATATAATTAAACAAACTATATTTAAAAACCGTTACACACATTATTTACTATATCTAATAATTAAGTGATAGATCTTAGTGGATCGGTGAAGAGGAATGAAATTCTTTCGATCCTTTATTTCTGTTCTGTTCTTCAACTTTAACTTAATCTGCACGCAGATCAGCAAAATCAAATTCATTTTGATAGTTTTAAATAATTTTTCAATAGAATGTTTAGTCGGATATTTTTTATGTCTTTAGTGTCTTTATATTTTGTCCTTAAAGTTAGATTTATAAATTTCAGATTCCTCGAAGAAATTATCAGATGTCCTCAAGGAATTCAAAGAAGAAAATAATCCCTTGTCGAAATACAACCCTGAAGGAGTAAGTATTTATTTCCTTTTCGAAGAAAAAATTCTAAACTTATAAGGTACATATAACTATTTACTTTTAGAATCGTCATTTATACACTTTTTCTTCGAAAGACATGTATGATTATCAAACGGTAGTTTTATACCTGGAATTGTTTGTTTAACCTTTTAGAAAATAAACAGTAACTGATTATTTAGCTAAATTAATTTCTAATAAATTCGTTAAGTGCGATACAGTTTCCGAGAAAAGGTGGCTCTTTAAAATAAACAGTAACTGATTATTTAGCTAAATTAATTTCTAATAAATTCGTTAAGTGCGATACAGTTTCTGAGAAAAAGTAGCTCGAAAATTCTTCCTGTCCCTCATATTAATCTAAATGTTACTATTGTAATAAAACAGTTTAATTTTTTCCCTGAATTCATCTTATTGCTCTCATTGATTTTCTTTTATCTTCAAACTGATGAAATAAACTTTATTTCTAAATTTGATTTCCCATGAAATCTAGAGTTACTATGATTATTCCTTAAGTAATTAATTTTAGAAAAAAAAACATTGGGACTATTTTAATCTTGTCTCCTTTCTTTTTTTCATTCTTTCTTTTGCAACTCATTGAAATTGAATTCCTCTTCAATTCTAATTAATGCAATGAAAGTTTGTAAGAAAAAGAAAGAACATTTTTTTAAAAATATGTTGTTCCTTTCTTGATATTTGTATGTAAGATGTGATATATATTTCAAATGAATACTGTACGTTTTTAACGAAACCATTTTGTGGAAAATGCTTCGAGTGAAAAGTTTGTCAAATTAGCCAGAGTTCTAGATTTTATAGAAATGAGAACGAAAATTCTTTAATAAATATGTTGCTCATTTATTTGATATTTATTTGTAAGATATGATATATATTTCGAATGAATACTTTACACGTTTTTGACGAAACCATTTTTTTTCTTTTTTGAATAATGCTTCGAGTGAGCAGTTTGTCAAATTAACCATAGCTCTACATTTTATAAGAAAAAGAACCAAATTTCTGTAAAAAAATATGTTGTTTCCTTATTTAATATTTGTATACAAGATATGATATATATTTAGAATAGATACTGTAACATTTTTCGGGAAATTCTTCGAGTGAACAGCTTCTCAAATTAGCCATAGTTCTAAATTTTATAAATAAGTAACGAATTTTTTTTTTAAAAATATGTTGTTACTTTATTTGATATTTGTATATAAGATGTGACATATATTTAGAATGGATACTGTACATTTTTGACAAAATCATTTTCTAGAAAATGCTTTGAATGAACATTTATTTAAATTTAAATGAAGGAAAGGCATTTATTTAAATTAAGGAAATTATTGCCTTCACTTTTTTCGAGGATTTATCAGAAATCATAGTTCTTACGTTATGCATCGAATCACAAATTGCTTAGGAAATGCAACCCGAAATAAACTGAGTTATACGTAATAATTTATCACTCATCATCAAGATTCAAATCTGGGAAACGAGCCATCTCTTTAACCCCAGTGCCATCTAATTTACAAAGAAAGTTTTTAATCAAATAAAAATCGTTCGAAAGAAATTGAAACGTAAAATTGACGAAGCATTTTAATCAGAGTATCATATACGAGCATATCGTCAGAAAAAAACGTGATCTTGTGGCAAAATGATCGTCAAAAATAAAGAAATACAGCCTTTGGATTACTAAATCGTTAAATATCAGAGTTCTTTTTTTGAGAGAGAGACAGAGAGAAGCAATTAGATTAGTGAAGGTTATTTAGCACGTGTATTGTAAAAGAAATTTTAGTAGAATTCACAAAAGGCTTAGCATTATTAAGATGATAAATGATAAAAACACGCAAAAAATAAAAATAATATATTTTAGAATAATGCTATAAATTTCATTAATTACAAATTTTAAATTTAAAAAATTACAAATTTTAACAATATCACTGTAAAAAATGGATACTCAATTTCGATTTTAACAAAACTGTTTCTTGGTATATGTTTCGAGCGAGCTTTTCGTCAAAGTGACAAAATAAATTTCCTCACTTCTTCGAAGAAACGAATTTCGTCAAGAGTAATTTCTAATAATCACTTTATCGTGGGCATTATAAAGCTAAGTTAATGTTACTTTAATGATAAAGAGAATAGAATGTCATATATATAACAGATAGAGAAATATAACAGAGAGATATGTTTGACCCATGTTCTAAGCGGGATTCCAACCCGGAATCTTCCTGATAGGAGGAGATCACCTGCTTGACTTTCAGACTGATCGACTTATTTCGGTTCTTTATTTTCAATCATCTAGTCTTCATCTTAGTTTCGTCCTTCTAGTTAACTATCTCCCAAAATGCACTACGATAAGTTGATGAAACAGTTTCGTTATTTATTATGTGAGAGTTCCCATTTCGTCACAAACAACGTGATTTTGTGACGAAGAAATTCCCTAAGTTAACGAAATGTAGCTCAAGGATTGCTAAATCATCAAATGTCATAGTTTTATTTTTGAGAATAGTCTCAAAATTATTATTTATAGTATCAAAAATTTTTTTTGACGAAACGATAGTCAATTATAAGGAATTGCAGCTTTTGGATTACTAAAATCGTCAAATTTGAGAGTTATATTTCTGAAAAATAGTGAGAAACAATTAGATTAATGAAGATTATTTAGTAATTGTATTGAAAATAAAATTAAGTGGAATTCGCAAGATTTAATATTATTAAAAATTCTAATGATCGAAATACCAATTAAAAGTCTTTTTTGAAATAACACTATAAATTTGAGGAAAAAAAATTACAAAATTAAATAATGACATTTATCTCAAAAAATATTTATTTTGCGTCATTTTTAATATGTATTCCCTAAAAATACTTATATTTTATGTCGTTTCCGTGAAACTTTAAACTACAATTGCTGCCATAATTTTGCCGCATACTTTATTTTACATTATTTTAAACACTTTTACAATATTATTAATCTTAGTTACATTTATTTTTACCGCACATTTGTATGACACAAGCACAGTTTTAATTAACATTACAGCTCAGACAGCATTGAAAATAAATTCTTCTTAAAACTACACATCTTTATAGAAACTGTAGAGAAAGAAAATTAAGAAAGAAATAACTAAGTAGGATATTAATTAAAGAGAATCAGATTAAAGGAAATTAAGTTAATTTATTGAAGGTAATAAAGGTTTTTCGTTTCATATTTAATTTGTTTGTATTTCAAGATTATAAGAAACCAGTAATCACATCACTTATTTCTCTCTGGGTATTAATTTAAGATAAATTTCTTTGTTATTCTGAAATTCGATGATAAATCAGAAAAAACATAAAATATCTACAATACATTGATCACAAAGGGTAATTATTTGTGAAACAATATCTCATAAATAGAATTTATTTTCTTGGCTAATTATATTCATTAATTTTAACTTCCTATTATAATTACGTTAAGAAATATTAATACTCAATACGCTCTTAGATACGTTAGCAAATAAATATTGCAACATGTAGAAATGAGCTGAAATATTGCGACATTTGCTTAATTAAGGAAATATACAATTCTTGAATTTCGCTTGTAGCTATTCGATCCTATGATTTAGAAAACATAATTTAAATTCTCATATTTGTCAAGATCTTGAATTTATTATTGAAAGCCATTATATTTCTATTCAACTAAAATCGTAATTTTCTCAATAATTACTAAATAATTCAGAATAATTTATTTAAATTAGTTTTCCTAAGGCAGTAATTCCATTTGAAATAATAGTATTTGCTAAATTTTATTTGCTTGATAAAATTCTGTAAAACGATTGAATTCCAGCTTTTTTAGAAAAAATCTTTTTCTATATGCAAATAAGTCAGTGATACGATAACTGAACTAATTTAAATAAACTTTAACGATCGCTATTTATAAATTTAATTTATCGCTGAATAATAGGTAAAGAGTGATGCATACAAATTGCCTATTAACGATGAATAGAAGAAAAAGAATTGCCTAGAGCTGATACTGTCTATGAAAACTCATTTAATCCTGTGTGGTTTATAATGCGAAAAGTTTTTCAAGTGTAAAATTAAATTCTAATGGACTAAAAGAATGAAAAGATTTTAAAGTAAAATAACAAAGTTATTTTTAGTCGCGTTTAAAAATTGTAAATATTTATGACGAATTTGTAAGGTATTTATGAAATGTAATTATATGCAATTAAATGTAATAAAAAAATGCAAATTTCAAAATATCTAATAACTATATGGATAATGTTTTTCTTAAATCTTGTGTTTTTTTAAAAGTTTTTTAATTATTTTATTTTCTAGCATTTAAAGTTTGTTCCGAAATTATTTTCAGCTTTTTTTTCATTAGGAAGATACAATTTTACTGTAACTCTTTTTTTTTTTTTTTTTTTGTTAAATCATGTTACTGATTATTTAATGCCCCAAATTACAAAATAGCCTCTTTCTTCTTCTCGTGACCGAACTCAACCGTCAAAGGATTATAGATGGAAAGGAAAAAATTAAATATATTCTTAACCGCCCTTATTTAATTTTCGCAGATGTATTTAAAATTTGCATTTTTTATACTACATGAAAAAATTATATTAAAATTACCGTGTAATATGACAATGACATTTCTGGTAGAATAAACCATTCATTCGGCAGTATTTCCGTTCATATGGTAACTGTTTACGGGGAAATTATGGTTATCAAAGTTATAACTCTTATTACTACATATTTAGTAAAACATACAAAACTGAAGATTAAATTTAACCTAATAAAAAGTTTTTATGCTATTCTCTAATGATAAAGGATATAATGAGGTTTCATGATAAAATTACCTATTTTTACCACATTTACCAAACATTATCACATATTATAGAAGCATATTTAATTTTACCAAAATCACTACCGAATCGCAAATTAACGAGCTTTTTGAAGTTCCCATAGAACCAGAAACACGGTACATTTTACCATATTCTCATAATTTTGACTATACATTTTTATACAAGGTC